GGGGGTGTCATGGGCTGGTCAAACCGGTTGAAGAAGGCATTCAGATTGTTTGCCTCCTCCACTGTCCTCCCTGTTGACCCCATGAGCCCCCAGCCTCAGCCCCAGTCCTTGCCTCCAGCCCTGCTCAGCCTGCCTGATTGCTGGAGAGACAGCTGTGGAGATCGGCTCACCTGCACTCAACCATCCACCTCCTGCTATAAAGCCCCGTTCATTCCACCACGCCCTGCCAGACCATAGACCATCATCCCTATGGTTCTGCTGGTCCCCGCTCTGTCTCCTGCCTGCCTCCCCAACCCTCACCAGATCCCGGATTCCCCGTGCCTGTCTGCCCCCTTCAGTTTTTCCCACCCTGTTTTGTTGGTTTAGCTTACTTTTTTATTACGATTTCTTCGGTATTCCCCACTGTCCTTACTTTAGAGTTTTCTTAGGTATTTGTTGTTTTGCTTCCTTTGTAACTTAGATTGTTTACCCCGTTCTGCTTTCCACTCAGTTTAGTTTGCACTTTTTGCATTGGTTTCAAGTTCCACTCCTGGTTTATTAAATCCTTTTTTTTTTTTACACTTAACCAACTTGTCTGATCTGTGTCAGCAACTGGGTTCCCCCATCCCTGACTGTGACACTATGCCTTCAAACTATTTAGGAAAGCCAAGATGATTTTGTGACTTTGGAAGCTTTTGATAAGTGAATTGACAACATGTGAGTTACTTAAAGGCACACCTCAAACACACTGCTTCCTTACTACTGAGAAGAAATAATTTTGGTAATCCTGACAAAGTGCTAATGTTCCTTACAACCGGACCCAAACCTTCAATTCTACAATTTTGTTTTGCAGATTCTTATCCAAAGTGCCGTACATCTGAGAGAAGATACAACACAAGCCAGGATCTAATCAGGAGAAAACAATCTGGACGCCGTAGAACAAGTTCAAGTGTGACAGGGCATTGATGCCAATTGCAGGCTGCGTGGGAGGTAATAGAATTTTTGTTTTTTTGTCTCAGTCTGTGAAGTGCAAAGGTGTTCAGTGAAGAGCTGGGTCTTTCTTCTTTTCTTAAAGATTGATAGGGAATCAGCAGATTGAACAGAGTTTGGTAACTTGTTCTGCCACCGGTGAACCACGGAGGAGAAGAATCTAGCCATTGACCTCGGGCCCTGTTGTGGTGGTTGTATGAGGCGGCTTTTGTTGGTTGAATGTAGTGAGCAGGAGGGAGTGTAGACTTGAATGAGAGAGTTCAGGTAGGAGGAAGCTGTTGTCATTCTAGTTTTAGGGTCAAGTGTCAGAATTTGCCCTTAAACGCTCTGGCAGGGTGAATGTGTTACTCCGGATCGTTGAATATGTTAGCATGTCCACCCACGTGATCTAGGATCGGTTTTGGAAGCTTTTGTGTGGTTGATTTTTGGCATTTGAGTTAATTGGAGGCACACCTGTGTATGTATTGTAAGACACACCTTAAACACGCTGCTGTCTTTTGAGGAGATGGATTCACATGAGGTAAAGTCACGAAAGCCTCTAAACTCACCAGATCACATTCTAATCAAGCATCTGTGATAAGTGCCACTGCCACTAGCTCGAAAACGTTCATCATGTCTTCTTACTGAAAATATAATGTTCAGGTTCTCTATTCAGACATGTAGAGTGTACTTTTCTTACCGGACAGTTTCGGTGAAAACAGTGGTCATGGACACTACAGATTACATGACAAAAATGGAAACCATGTTAGCTGACACAAACACATACGAAATAATAAAGAAAAACCCCACAGAGAAAAAGAAGAAAATCCTGAAAGACCTGCTAAAACCATTACTGCAAAGCAAGAAAATAACAAAGGAAGCTTTTGAACATCTCATACCCACAGCAAGTGTCACCCCCCGTATATATATGGCACCCCAAAAATACACAAAAAGGACGCCCCACTCCGACCCATAGTAGACAGCATTGGTTCAGTCACATACAACCTATCCAAAGCATTGGTAGAAATCATCAAACCCCTTCTTGGACTCACAGAACACCACTGCAAGAATTCAAAGGAACTGGTCAAAGAACTCAACAATGTAGCAATACAAAAAGATGAGATCTTCATTTCTCACAACGTCGTATCACTCTTCACCAAAACCCCAGTCGATGTCACCCTACAGATTGTACGGCAACGACTCCACAAGGACAAAACACTCCACAAACGCACAAACCTCACAGT